CGAGCCATTCCCTGATCAGATCTGCACTTCTCCTCGCACCAAAATTTTGCCGGAGATTTCGTTCCTTTGTTCACAACATTCTCGACGAATTCGAAATGGATTTCATGAAGGTCTTCGATCAAACAGTTCGAGAGATGTGAGTTTTGCCGTTTTCTCTATCGATTCTTCTTCGATTTTCGATTGAATTGATTCAATTTCGATTCAAATCCGTAGATCCTTGTTTGATATCTTCGATTGATCTTCGATTTTTGTTCGTTTTCACTTGCAGAAAGAGGGAGGTGAATCTGAAAGTTTTGAAGGTTCCTGAGATGGAGCAAAAGGTGACTTCATTTGATTTGATTCGTTATCTCTATTTTTGCAAAGTGTTTGCATGCTGTTTGGTTAATTCCTGGCAAAGGTAATCGAGAATTTGATATATTATCAGCGATTTCACGAAATGAAAAGCTTGAGAGCTTCTTGAAATCTACGAAATGGATCCTGAGTAGTAGTTTGAACTGGATTTGTTACGATTCGGTGTTTCGGATGCTGAATATGTTCTTAGTTGTTATATTCTGATGCTGTATTCACAAATCTTGAGTTCCAATTCAATGGATAACAAGTTAACCTTGAGGTTTGATGTTAGCAATGTGTAGTATCCTAGTTTCCGGATTTTCAGTATGATCTGCAATCTGTAATGATGTTTATGGCTGTGTATAGTACAGGTATTGGATGCTACAGATAATGAGCCTTGGGGTCCTCATGGTACTGCATTGGCAGAGATAGCTCAGGCCACAAAGAAATTGTAATCTCTTGATTTACTTATTTCCTGTAGTTTTAGATGATTTGACATCGAAACAAAATTGATGTTATAATGCTTAACTTGTCCCTTTGCCATATGTTTAGCTCCGAGTGCCAGATGGTTATGGGTGTTTTGTGGACTAGACTGAGTGAGACAGGAAAGGATTGGCGATATGTGTACAAGGTGAGAGTCTTCTTGACAAAGTCCTGCAATGTTTGGAAGCTTGCAGTTTTATTGTTTTGGTGTAACCCAATGTTTTATTTTTCTTCTGCCAGGCACTGGCTGTCATTGATTATCTGATTTCAAACGGATCAGAGCGAGCGGTTGATGAGATTATCGAGCATACTTACCAAATATCTGTCAGTATATTTCTTTTACACATTGATAGGTTGTTCTCTCGTGTTGGACGTTGTGGTTTTCTACTGACATGGTCTCTCTTTGTGATTTGCCATCCATGTAGTCACTCACGAGTTTTGAGTATGTTGAACCAAATGGAAAAGATGTGGGAATCAATGTGAGAAAGAAGGCGGAAAACATAGTCGCTCTCTTGAACAATAAAGAGAAAATCTCAGAAATCAGAGACAAAGCAACAGTGAATCGTAACAAGTTAGTTTTTATTCAAGTGAATATAACTACTGGTTTGCATTCTTCTTTACGTTGCCTTGATGGGGTTTACTGCCTCCAATTAGGTACGTTGGGCTCTCATCAACAGGAATAACATATAAATCTGGTTCAGCTTCATCTTCGTTTGGTGGTAGTTTTCAAAGTGGTTCAAGCAATTATGACAGCTACAAGGATTCCAGAGAAGAAGACAAGAATGACTACGAGTCTTTTCAAAAGTCAAGGCGCGGTGTTAAAAGTGAAGAGCAAGGCTACACTTCCAAGAAAAGTTTTTCACGCTATGGCAGGTTTTGTCTCAATCTTGATTTGCTCTCACGCTATTCATTATGGATTTTGGGAGTATCTTCAATTTGAGAAAAAAATTCGAGTTGAGGATGCGCGTATGCTTCTTTTGATTACTCATTTTGCGTACGCTGTTTTCTGATGTGAAGCAAATCAGTCTTCCATTCTTGCTCAGTCAGTTTTAATTTGAATGTGCAGCACGGACCATGATAATCTATCCAGTGGAAAAAAGTCACCCGACTCTGGCAAACATAGTTCCATACCTTCACATGCATCTGCTGCTCCTTCAAACAACGATGATGATTTTGATGATTTTGATCCACGTGGAACTTCCACCAATAGTATGTTCCTTTCTATGTCTGCTGAATTTGCAGATTGTTTATCACTCATTGAGTAAAAGTTGGTTTAGTAAATTATGACGGACAAGATGTATATATCTATAGACGTATGTCCCTATCTCATCTGTATTGTTCTTCTTTTTGGCAGAACCTTCCACAGGCAGTGCCAACCAAGTGGATCTTTTTGGAGGAGATCTGATTGGTGACCTCTTGGATTCTGGGCCAACAGAAACATCTCCCACCAACAACAATGGGAAGTTTCAAGAGGCGGACCTGTTTGCTGATGCAACTTTTGTATCAGCCTCAGCTCAAGGAACAGAATTTGGGTCGCAGACACAGGTGGGTGAATTCTTTCATCGAAGCTGATTTACAGCTTTTAACAATGTAATATTCCCTGATTAAGCGCCCATTCATGTGATGCAATTTGCGCATTTTGACAAATTTGTTCAATTTCTGCTGTTGAAGTCATTGCAACTCACAGTGACTTGGCTGTTGAACTGTAGACTGATATGTTTCCGCATTTCTGTGTCTGCAGGAAGAAGTTGATCTTTTCGCTGCGTCTGAACCTTCAGTCACAGTTTCTTCACCACCTCCGACGGTTGATCTTTTTGCATCTCCTGAATCAGTTGCACCCCCAGAAGCCAAGATTCCTAAACCAGAGTCTATGAGCACTCCAAACATTGTTGACCCATTTGCTGCAGTTCCTATGGATAATTTTGATGGATCAGATCCTTTTGGTGCCTTCACTTCTCACTCTGCTTCAGTCTCTACAGGCCCACAGGCTCCAGTCGTACATGGGAGTGCAACAAACACCACAAGCCCACTGTCTTTTATGGATACTAAGCCACAACAGTTGCAAAAGAAGGATTTCCAGGTGAAATCTGGTATTTGGGCAGATTCGCTGAGCCGTGGACTAATTGATCTCAATATAACTGCTCGTAAGTCAAAACTTCTGATTTATTATGTTTTTCAAATTTCATCAAGAACTCTCTCCTGTGACGTGCTGGTGCACTAGTATCTTTCGTAAATTATGCACGATAGTGAACAATATAGCTCATGAACTGCATTAAATGCTGATCCAACCCAAAAGCCATGGTTACAGTGCCTGATACCAGTCAAAATTCTTAGCTCACATTCCAATATCATGTAGCTCAACTTCGGATTGTTTCTAGACAAATAAACCGTCGGGTTTCAGACCTGACTAATTTGTTTTCCCTGTAATCAGCCAAAAAAGCTTCACTAGCTGATGTGGGCGTTGTGGGTGGCCTGAGCAATGACGAAGGAAACAAAGCATCTGCTGCTTCGTACTACTCAGGGTGGTCTATGGGCGCAGGATCCGGGCTCGGTAAAACCGGACTAT